CTTTATAAACAGAATTTTTCTGAAACAAGTAATCGAACAGTTGCCTTGAGTGCAACTTTGTTTGGGGGAAAAACGCTATTTGGTAATCATCAGAAGTAAGGCCACTATTAAAGACCACTCACTGCCTTCAGAAGAAAACAGAAGACAATGCTTCTACCTCAAGTCAAAGCGTGCCTAAAATTCTACCATTTAACATTTCATTTAGACAGTTGTTATAGGACACTTTCACAACCTCTTGTGATTCCCAACAACCCCCACAGCATAAATATGATCCACTCTATTTTATGAACAATAAAACTCGGAGGGGTAAAATAACTTGCCTGAGGTCACATTGCCAGTAAACCAGAAGTGGGACTCAATCCTAGATAATTCACTAGGCAACATTCCTTTCAGAGGAATCCCATGTGTTGCAAAACACTAAAACCATGTAACCCTGATTTACACATCCCTCTGAAATCTACAAGCCTAGATTACTGAAGTTTCTTCATGGTACAGGTACTAGGGATAAGTGTGTTTTCTATATGCAGCTGGAGTTGGAGCCACAACAACAGGTCTAATAGAATAGCTGGCTAGGAATCAGGACACACAAACTCTGTCCCTTCATTGGTCTCCAGCTGCCCCCAACTTCTCAGCTCCCCTTCCCAGTAAAATTCCTCGGGAACAGTCATCAATACTACCATTGGTTCTCAAAGTGTGGTGTGCAGTTTGGGAGTCCAGGAAGCTAAACCTTTTCATAACACTCGGACATTAGTTGTCTTTGTCACTTTCATTCTCTCCTAAGTACACAGTGGAGTTTTCCAGAAGTTCCACGATGAGGGGCATGGCACCAGGTTATAATGCAGAAGCAGATATGAGAATCTAGCTGACTATTAAGGCAGAAACTAGAGATCTGCAAAACTACAAAACAGTACCATTCTACTCAAAAAATGTTTTTGAAAAGTTATTTTTCATAAATTATGATACTTATGTTAACATGTAGTCAACCTATTATTATTTATATTCACTTGAAAGGGCCATTTAAAACATTTCTCAGTTTTAATTTCTAATATCACAAATATCAAGATAAAACCTAAAACAAAAGCTCCCTGGAGTCCTTGGTTTCAAGAGTGTAACGGTCTTCAGGCTAAAACTAAGAATCATTGGTCTATTCTCTGCCTCCAATTATTCTTTCATTCCCTCTCAAACCTACTCTAGTTAATGGTTTTCCCCACTGTGTGCCACCAAAATTGTTCATGAACACTAAGGTCTTCCCAGTTGTTAAATCCAACGGTCCACCCGCAGTCCTCATCTCAACCTGCTGGCATGTATGCCATGGCTGATTACTCCTTCCTCCTGAGGCCTTTTCTTCACCTGCCTTTCAGGAGACCATATCCAAGTCTCTAACCTCTGACTTCATTTCTCCTCCCCAACCTCAATGCTGGATGGCCCAGAGCTCAGTCATTCTTTGGAATCATCTCTATACTCACTGTAGTACCTTGGCCATCTCTAAATTAAGTCTTTCTAGACCAGCTCTCTTCCCTGAATTCCAGACTCATCCACCTGCCCACTTTACTTCTATCCTTGGATTCTAAGTAGGCATTCCAAACTTTCAGATGACTAAAACCTAACTTTCTCCAGCCAAACATGTTTCTCCTAATGGCTTCCAACCTCATTTGATGGCAACTTTATCCTTCTAATGGCTTCCAAGGCCAAAGCCTTGAAGTCATCCTTAATTCCTTCCTTACATTCAATCCAACAGGAAATCCTGTTGGGACGTCAAAATTCACCCCAAATCCAATCATCACCTCTCCTGTTCCACTGCTCAAAGCCACCATTTACCTCTCACCTGGGTTACTACAATAGCCTCCCATCTTATCTCCTCACTTGCTCCCCTATAGCTTACTGTTAGCACAGAAGTCACATGACCCTAAAAGATTAGGTATCAAATAACTTAATACATACCAATGTCTTTCCATCTTACTCAAGAATAAAAGCCAAAAACCTTACAAAAGCCAATAAGGCCTATTCTAGTTGACTCCTAGTTACCTCTCTAGGCTTTCTTCATGCACTCTTTTCTCTGCTCACTATATGGCCTTCAAGCCCTTCTGCTGGCTGTTTCCTCTGTCTGGAATGCTCTTTTGCCAGAAATCCTCATGACTCACTCCCTCAACTCCTAACTCTTGCTACTCAAATGTCACTGTCTTAAGGAGACCCACCCTGATCTCTTCTATTTCAAAACACACCTCCACCCCAGACCTAGTATTTTGATCTCCCTTACCCTGCTCTACACTGCCCCCCAGCACTTAGCACTTTCTAACATATCACTTATATGTGTCTGTCTCCCTAATAGAATGTCTCCACAACTGCAAGAATTTTTGTCTGTTTTGTTCACTAATGTATCTCCTATGCTTAAAATCATCCCTGCCAAATAGTTTCCCAATAAATCGATATATGAAATCAGTTTCTCCATCTATAAAGCCTAGTGGGAGAAAAGGGTGTTTGGACTCAATAGCTCTTCCCAATTTTAACCAGGCACACAGAGCTCACTTATATCGTAACTGATTTGAAACTTCTGACACAAGGCTCAGCTTCTGGTCACACAGGCCTGGGCCTAGGCCCATAATTCTAAGTGCCCGGCTAGGACAGGGCAGGATAGGCTACACTCAAATAGAAACCAAAAGACCAAGTACTGTACTGTCTTTGTTACCTGTCAGAGCCTGGGACACTCTGTACCTAATGTTTTTCTCCTCTCCTCTATTTCTCCTACTTGCAGGAATCACTCCTATTTAGTTAAAACTTGGCCTGCAAATCAGCACAGATCCCAAGTGTAGATGTCCAAATGGAAGTAGTGATCTCAATTAGTTGTGACACCCCATAATCCTAACCAAAATTCTGGTCCCTCTTCCAATGACTACCTTTCTACTCCAGGGCAAACTTGAATTCTAAGGGGTTTTTTAAAAGTGGAAAAGATGAGATGGAAATGGGAAGGGACAGCGTGAAATACAATTCACTGAGAACACAGATGTAACCAGCTCAAATCAATATTAACCAAGTCCATACAATAATAAAATTTAAAAACAAAACAAAACAAAAATTAACCAAGTCCAACCAGAAATCTGAGGGTGATGGAAGGAAAGGAGGGGACTAAGAGTCCACCCAGATGATGGGAGAAAAGGGTGTTTGGACTCAAGAGCTCTTCCCAATTTTAACCAGGCACATAGAGCTCACTTATATCATAACTGATTTGAAACTTCTGACACAAGGCTCATGTGCTAAGGCCCCTTCCTTGTGACCAACCACTGGGATCAGCCCCAGCCCCATCACCTCATCTCAAGGCTTCAGCAAAATGTAAGGGTAGCTTACTTCCAGCTTGCCATACTGATATTAAGAAAAAAGGGGAAAGAAGGGAGGGTCACGAGTAAGATACACCTGCCTTTAATTTAGTAGGATTTTGGGTAGTGACTCAACCCATTATAGGGTTGCAAAGGAGAAACAAAATGGTACATGTGAAAATACCAAGCAAAGATGGTAGTCAATGTTTTTTGTATTTTTTTCCTTCCCACAAAACAAGGCTGGGGCTTTCTGTTAAGAAAAAGAATTCACATGCTGACTAGCCAGCATTTGCATACTTCCATTAATCTCCCACATCTACTTTCTTCTACTTGCACATCTGGCCCATGATCTTGCCAATTCTCTGCTCGGAAGATCAAGGTACTCCTCTATCCTCAGTGCTACCCAATTTCAGGTTCAACAATGTCCCATACTAGTGGGAATAAAACAATTGACCCAACCAGTCTCCAAGTCTCTAGTCTTCTGTTCAATTCAACTTGCACATACTAAGTTCTTAATGCTGCATTGTTCCACTCTGGTCCACAGATGGCTCCCAAGCCTGCTAAGTCAAGGTCAAATTCCAGGGCGCCAGGTTTCACCTAATTTCTGATCTTATTTCCCCTGCTCACACCGCAGGTTCTGGTCCAACTGAACTTGCTGTTCCTGGTACACACTTTGGGATGTTCCACCTCAGCTTTGCCCACACTCTGGCAGGTCACTGTTACCCCTTACCACGTGTCTGCATTCTTCACTTACTCAAGCTGGTGGAGTCTCTCAAATGTGCTAAGGTCCCTCTGGCTTCAGGTCCTTTGCAGAGGCTAGGATCTTCTACCTGAAGTGCTCCTCCTTGTCCCCAATTCCCTAGTCTTGCTTCTGGGCACAATCCCCTGAAAGGTCAGTTTTCCTTAATATCTCTTCTCCTTTGTTGCAAAGCAACTATGGTAAATATTGAGTAATGTTTCTCTCCCCGACTAAGCTGCAAAACTCATGAGGGTGGGGCAAGTTTCTGATGATGCTTACCATTGTTACCCCAGAACCTAGCACAATACTTGAAAAGTGAAAGCCCACAATAAATCTGGGCAATAATCTACATAAGCAAAGCTTTCCAGATAATACTCACTCACAGAGTTTATAGTGTCTAAATATGGAGAAACCATCTGATATCTAGAGTAGGAGAATGGCTACATTATGGTACATACAATGAAATGTCAATTATTGAAAGCCATACTTTCAAAAGCATGACATGGGGAAATGCACAGATTAGCGTTGAGTGAAAGAACAGGAAACATAACTACCTAACCACAGCTTCATCTAAACTATGTAGAACTGGATGTGCAAGGAGAAGGGATACAATTTAGGGACGGCGCTTATCCTCTGAAAAAAACTGCCCGTACCTTTTCTGCACATTTTCTACAGTAAGCCTTTATTAATTAATTAATGAGAAAACATGTTTCTAGGAAATTTAAAAGAGACTCAGCTCAAATGCAACTCCACTCAGAAAACTTCTCTGGACATTCCAACTCATACTCAAATAATCCCACATATCTCATCAAGACCTGGGAGATCTCTGATAAAAAGCACTGAGTTCCCTTCAATCCTGCCTTTCCCAACTCCATAGGGCCCACCCCAGGGCCCAGGGCGAAAAATCCAGTCCAGGAAGACTGCATGCACAACAAAAAGAGTACACTCACCTAGTTTAAAAACACCCAAGATGCTTTGCCCTGAATTTTAAGCAGCACATGTGACCTGGTCCATTCTGGTTTCAAGTTCAAAGGCATCAGGCCGGTCCTGTGGGTTAGCAGCTAACATATCTTTCAAGAGCTGCTTGATCCCCTCAGACATGGAAGTCCTGCGTTTCTGGGGGATGTGCAACTCCATCTTTGGGTTTTCTAGCAGCGCCTCACCAACAGGGACGATCTCAGTCCCCTGTTTGATATAGGTCCCCAGGAGCTCCTTCTTGGTCTCAGAGTCAATGAAAGTGATTCTTTCTATCATTGCCCAGATGATAATGCCCAGGGCAAAGATGTCAGCCTTGGCTGTGTAGTGTCCCTCCCAGACTTCAGGGGCCATGTAGAAGTCTGAGCCACAGGCTGAGGACAGCCAGTATTTATTCACGTTCACATTTTTGTTGTTCTGATTGCCCTCTTTGCCTCGGGGGGCCAGCCCCGCACAGACCTTGCTTAGTCCAAAGTCTGCCACCTTGAGGATGGGGGTGCCAGACCTCTCTGTGATAAGGATGTTGTCTGGCTTTAGGTCCCTGTGCACGATGTGGTTTTTGTGCAGGAAGGCAATGGCGCTTGTGAGCTGTAGCATGAAGCTTTTGTTGGTGGCTGGGTCCGGCCTCCGGGACAGGACGTACTGATTCAGGTCTCCACCTTCACAGAACTCCATGACAAACCAGAGATAACAGGGCTCCTCAGCATAACCCAGGATCCTTTCTCCTAAATCAAAGGAAGACCGGAAAGAGCTTGAGTGAGATGGGCACATTCACACCACCTTTAGGCTACAGGAATGCAGTGTATTAAAAGTTAAGAGTGACAGTGGTGACAATTGCTCCAATCCAAGAGGACCAGTACAATTGGTATGAGCCAACTCTATAAAAGCCAGCCCATCTCCACTCACATAGAATGAGTCAAGGGACAAGACATGGTATGACACAGGCTGCAGAGACTGGCATCAAGCTGGGTTTGGGGTTAAGGGTGCCTGGGTTTAACTCTGGTTTACTGCTGATTGGGTGAACAGCCAGGAGGCAACTTAGTTCACCTTCCCAAGTTTCTACTTCCGCTTCTTCACCTGCAAATGGCCATGTGTAACCACTTACAGAGTGCCTGCACTGGCACTTGACATTCAACTTAATATTTACCATTACCTAAGGGGGCAGGGGGAAATAGCGCCATCTTATAAAATGAAGAACCTGCGGCGCAGAGACTTAAGAGTCGAAAGACTCAAATCTGTTTGACTGTGAAACCACTGCATTCCATGACACTGTCTCCAGATCGGCAGCAGCACACCACCCACACCTCCCAGGGCTGCTGCTGAGACAGGCAAAGCATGCGAGAAGATTGTCAAGTGTCTGCTACTCCATGCCAAGCAAATGACCTCCCCTCCCTTCTTGACTGACTTGTATACTGATTCTTGCCAATGCACCTAGAACTGCACTAGCTTGTTTATTCCAGGGGCACACTCCAATTCATCAGTGTTTCTGCTAGCCCACCATATGGCTGGCAAAGTGAATACAAAACACCCCCGTCTCTAACGAAGCTTGATTTAAAGCAGATAACTAGTATCTAAACTAGCAATCATCATAAGCTGTGCATCTGCATCAAGGTCATTTTATAAACAGTGAAAGGTGGGTAGGAGTTGCCAGATCTAAAGAAATGAGGAGGGAGAAGGGAATTCTAGGCCAAGAGCTGGAATAGATGAATGGAATAACTGACTAGAGGTGGAAACAGGAAGTCTGGTAGGATCAGTGGGGTCCAAAGTAGATGCATAGGCGGAATCACATTGTGTTGGCTTGAAACTCCAGCTCCATCTTTCCATCTTTCCTTTTGAACCACAGAAGCTCCAGGAAAGCTGGTGACTGGCATCTCCACACAAACCCGACTATTCTTTTTTGTAAAATTTTTTTATTTTTTTCCATCACCACTTATGCCCTCTTCCATCTCCACCCACCACCACCCCTCCACAATCACCACACCCAATATTCTTTATGACAGTTCACAGTACACTGAGCCCTTAGGTGAGGTTATCTGATGAGTGCTGGTGCCCCAGAAACTACGCCTAAGTAGTCGGAAGTCTTCCTAGCTAAGGCTGGGCTGCCCAAGGTGGTCACATGGATCGTTCATGACTAAGCCAGGGCCTAACCATAAGTCCTGTGATCCCCAGCATGGTGTCTCCATACTACCAAAAATGAGGGCTACTCCTCCTCACGCAGCCTCTCCCAGAGAGTTCCTTTTTACCAGTTATTTACCCTATTATAAAGAGAACTAGTGATCCAGGATACCCCCCTGGCAACCCAAATGGCCCCAAAATTACCACAGCACACAGTCTACCAAAGCCAGGAGTTTGGGATTTCTGGGTTAAGGCAATAAGATGCACAAGGCAAAAAACCCTTAGGTTTCTGACCATGATCTGACAGGCCTCATTTCCCCTGTAATTATATAATTTGTTTGTTTATATCACTAACAATCAAAGTAATACAGGTAGAACCAGTTTAGGGCAGATAGTTTTTTTTTAAAAAATCAGTTGTTTCCCATCTCATAATCCTCTTTCTAGGTCATCAGCTCTAATGGGCTGCGGTTCTTTATCTAAAAACACTATAAATGAAGTGGTGATCTGAATCCTGAATCAATCCAGACTCCAGAATACACACTCATAAACAGGAGGGCAAGAAACGCCTGACGGAAAGGAAATGATTAAAAAGCGACCAAATCCCTACTGCGGAGGCCCCATAAGAAAAGAGTGCAGCTTTCTCACTGAAACAGTGGGGAAAAAGAGGGTGCGGAGTGATGATTATCTGATATACAAAGTTGGGAACCATGGCAACTGAAGTAAAAAGAAAACAAGTCTGCAAAACAGACTACAATGTAAGTCCAGGTTATGAGAACCCAGGGAAAGAGAAAAGTGCCCTAAGTGAGTGGGTGGGGCAGATGGGACCCAGGACAGAAGGGCTTGCTCTGGGAAGTGAGCTCAGCTCAGAAGCTACAGGAGGGGGCTGTTTATTGAGAGGAAAGCACTGGACAGGAAGAAGCATTCTCAGAATCAGACACAGCATCCGTGAGCATGACAGAATGGAAAACTGGGGAACACAGTTACTTGTCTCATAGACAAAAAAGTACTTCTTTGCACAGGCTTATTTCATGAGAAGCCCCAGCACGTTTTCACACAGAATCCTCAGCTGCCCACTAAAAAACAGAAGAGGCTGGTCAGAATTCCAGTCATTTCTTTCAGGCAGACGGCCTACCTGGGCCTCTCAGTTACCTCCCAGCAAGATGGAGGGGAAGGGATGTGGCACTGATGCCTTTCTCTCAGGAAGCAGGCCAAGCTGAAGTAACAGGAAGGGCACGGACCAGAAGGCAAAGAGTCCCATGGGTTTAATGAGTGGTGTCTTAGTTCAAAGGAAAACATGGGGAAACTGAGACCTGATGGCTAGAACTCTGGGCAAGTCCCTGAACCACTCTGGGCCTCAGTCGTATAACCTACCAAATGAGAACACCTACCACACATATTACTGTGAGTTAAGGACGGGCATCACAAACATCCTGACTATCACTAACGTCATCATTCCTACTGGACCTCAGCCTAGTCCTAGGAAGTCACCAATTTCAACAATCCCAGTGCTTCAGGCCATGTGTTAGGCAAAAGATGAAACGGATCAGAAAATGAAAGTGGATGATTACATACCACATTTTGCAGGCCGTTACAGCCAAAACTCATGTTCTAGCCAGACCAGGCCACTTTTTTTTTTTTGAGCAATCTCCATCTAAAAAGCACCCCCCTCTCCAAATATGAATGTGCACCTCGGGGACCAGCTTGAATGCCAACCTACTAACATTTGCCTGATCTCTCAGGTAACTTCCCTCTTCCAAGCAGCCAAGGCCCTAGTCTTATATTTACCAAGGTGACTGAACTGGAGAAGGGAAACTGGTCAAACTTTTACAGAATTACCAAACACTGCTTCTGAGATTACACTAATTCCTAGAGACCTAAAATGTCACTGGGGTTCGCCAGTTGGAGTAGGGACTTACGGAGGTCAGGTGATGCACGGAGTTTTAGCACAGATCCATCACACAGTGGTCCCAGTGGGTCCCCACACCAATGTGTGGTAATTTCCCCAGTTTCAGGATGTGTAACTGGAATAGACACGTGCAGCAAGCAGTGGAATCCCCAAATGAAATTTACAGTTTTTTGAACCGATAGAAAAAATTACATTTTAAAAGTTTTATAATTCCCTTGTTTGACATAATCGGACAGTCCTATAAGATTAATGAGTTAAAAATTTTGCTTCCCAGAGGGGGAGAAAACAGTGAGTGTTATCTGGAGGTGGCAAGGATTCGAGGCAAATTAACCTTTGAGAGCCCACTGGATTACAGGCACTATTTCAAAGGCTCACTCATCTCAATGGGCACTGCTTTAGAGGTGGAAAACCCGAGAACAAGGAATAGGTGCTGTCCTGCCCAAGGAGCAGGGGACGGCGGGGAGGATGAGAATCGCTGCGAGCATGGTCCTTGAGCTGTCTCCCGAGATGAAGAGTGAGCAGAGCACAGCGGGATGTGCGCTTGCAGCAAAGGGGCCCAAGTAATCTGGGGCGATCACAGGAGAGCTGGTAGGAGACAGGCACAAATGAGGTTGGAGATGAAGCTGGAGTCAGGTCATGGGAAATGGTATCTGGCAGACAAAAGGACTTTAAGTTCAACTCGAAAAAATGGGAGTAACTAAAAGCTCCTGATCTATTTTAGAAAGATATACTGCTTATTGAATCTAAGAAGTCATTGGTTTTAAGACATCTCATTTAAATAAGATCTACGGGCTGCTGACAACAAGGTGGTATGCCATTGACTGAGTTCTGACTTAAGAGATGTTAACATGTGAAAGAGCATGTCTGAGAATTGATCAAACAGTTCCCTCTGGAAGCATGAGGAGTTGGAGATGGAAGACTTATCAGGTTTTGAAAGCCAAAGAAGAGAGGCTGGCAAGGGAGGGAGTAAGAAGGGGATGGGAGAAAGAGGTCTTGGAGGTTTAGAATTAATAGAAATTAGTAACTTATCACATGTTATGTGTGATGGACAGGAAGAATTCAGAGAGCACTCCAGCCAATCCTCTCTTCTTATTCCAAACCCCTATCTACTTAGATGATAATTATATCCCCTTTCACAGGTGAGGAAATTGAGCCTCAAAAGATTAAATAACTTGCCTATGGCCTCACAGCCAGGTAGCCTGGATTCTAACTGTGATGCTCCACTACTGTCTCTTAGTGCCAGCAGCAGAATTTAACACCTAGATGCTTTATTTCCACTTCGACTCAAGCTCCTTATTAAGTACACTCTTATGTACAGGATACCCTCAAAGAGTTTTAATGTTCACCCAGTCCCTAGTAGTGATGGTCCAACCACACGAGATTCAGGTTCATTTTCCAGTAGAGGACTAATTAAGATTTTGACTTAAATATGCTGAGATGCTAATTCGGCAATATGTATCACAAATCTTAAAAACGCTCAATCCAGTTGACATAAAAATCCTACTCAATTTATTCTAAGTGAAGAGTATCCAAAAGACAAAACACACAAAAAAATTTCCCACCACCAACAGCAACAAAAAAGGTACACCAAGCTCCAAACCCACCAGAACTGGTATCCATACAGCACAGTAAAGCGAAGAGCTGGAAGCAACTATCCAAGAGAAGTTAACCATACCATAAGCGAGTTTAATGCCAAGTAAAAAA